TTTTTTTTTTTTTTTTTTTTTTTTAATATATACACAATCTATACACAAACGGCACAATAAGAGTATTAGCTAAGATAAACAAGAATGAAATATTGAGTGAAGAAGCCACCCACCGATGACACTTTCGTCTTTTAATTATTTTGTTTTGTCCTTATACGCAATTTTTTTTTTTTATTTTATGGATTGAGTAGGTCTCTGCACCATTTACGCTTAAGGCGGCGAGGAGGGTTACCAGGGATGGTTAATGAAGATAGATTTTTTATGAGCTCGTTTGGATGAGAGCTAAGGCGTAGGTGGAAACGTTTATAATAATTTTTTGCCTCTTCTTGAATTGTTTTCATACGTAAATCTTTATGCAGAGAGTGATTTGACACATATGGTGGACAATTGGTAATTTTTCTTAGTATTTTATTTTGGAACCGTTGAATTTTATTTAGGTTAGAAATTTTTGCGTTGCCCCAAAGCTGTAAGCCGTACGTCCAGATTGGCTTTAGGAGAGATTTGTAAAGGAGTAGTTTAATATTTAGGTTTAAGTGTTTGTTGTTGACGATTAGGGTTTTGAGTATTTGTAGGCGGGAGTTTAATTGTGATGTTTTGGCTTTGATGTGTTGAGCCCAAGTAATGCGGCGATCAATAGTTAGCCCTAGGTATTTAACGTTTGGGGATGAGGGAATCCGAGTGCCAAAAATTGATATCTCTGGACATGGTGCTAATTTAAGTGTGAATGTAGTATGTACTGATTTGGCTTGGTTTATTTTAAATCGCCACTTTTTGTACCAATCTTCCATAAGTGAGAGATGATTTTGTAGGTTTTTGGAAGCTATAATAGGATCTGAACTGGATGATATTATGACTTTATCATCCGCATAGTCTGCTACTAAAGTGTTGGGTGTGGTCGGTTGGTCGGATGTATAAATATTGTAAAGAATTGGGGAGAGTATTCCGCCTTGCGGAACGCCTGCCGCAATTCCTGCTATATTAGAGTCCGAAGAGCCATAATGAACCTGAAAGTAGCGGTCTGTGAGATATGATTTCAGTATTATGTAATATGTTGGGTGTAGGAATTGCTTTAATTTGTATAGCAGACCTTCGTGCCATACTCTGTCGAAGGCCTGGGATACGTCAAGGAATGCACAGGTGCAGTAAAGTTTTTTTTCGAGGGCAAAAGAGGCGGCGTCAACAACTCTATGGACTTGGTGAATAGTCGAGTGTTGAGCACGAAAACCAAATTGATAGTCAGGTATAATTTTTTTATCGAACATGATCGGAAGGATACGCTTAAGCAAAAGCCTTTCCAGTATTTTGGCAAAAAACGGTAGTAAGCTGATCGGTCTGTAAGAATTTACGGAGTCAGGTGGTTTGTTTGGTTTAGGGATTAAAATGATTTTAGAGAATTTCCATAGGAGAGGAAAGTATGAGAGCCTTAGGGTAGCGTTGAAAATGTGCGTAAGAAGGATAATTGCACGTTTTGGTAAGCATCTGGTGACTTCGGCTGTAATTAAGTCAAATCCTGGGGATTTCCTAAGTGAGTATTTTTGTATTGTATATTTTACTTCACTGGGCGTGAAGTGTTTTACTGGTAGAGATATAGGGAGAGGAGAGTCAAGATACATTTGTACTGTGTTTGTAGTAACTGTTGAGGATGTTTCAGGGTTAGGTAGGAATATTTCCTGAAGATGATTTTTGAATAGTTCTGCTTTTTCAGCATCAGTAGAAGCAAGACTACCATCTGGGTTTTTTATTGGGGGCGATGTGGCTTTATATTGGAGAGTTTGTTTTGTTGCCTTCCAGAGACTTCCATCTTTGGCCGAGAGGTTATTCAAGTAGTTTTCAAATGAAAGATCTTTATTTTTAGATAAAACTTTCTTGAGAGAGTTAGCTAATCTATTGTAATTTTGTTTAAGAGATGGGAGACGGTGTCGTTGGTACAGGGCTCTTGCTCTCCTTTTTTCCACTATAAGTGCACGTATATGACTCGGCAAAGAGGGATGATATGAATAGGAATGATTTACTTTAGAGATGGATGACCATGCCGCTGATTGAATTATATTTGTGATGCTATTTACTGCTAAGTCTATATCATCCGTGGATTTTAGTTTAATATTAAGTTTTATTTTTTGATCAACAAGGTCATGAAATTTGTAACGATCAGTTGTGGCATTGAAAAGTTTGGGAGGTTCCGGACAAGTTAATGGATAATCGTTAAGTGTTAATATAACAGAAGAGTGGTCCGAGTTTAAGTCTAAGATATTATCAGTAGAGTGAAATAAGTTAGATGGGATTTTAGAAACAAATATGTCAAGTATATCTGGGTTTTTTTGAGCAGAAGTTGGCCAGTAAGTAGGACCTGGGGGGGCAAGTATTTTAAGTTTTTTTGTACATACGACATCACGTAGTACAAGACCACGTGGGTTATTTGTGCGACATCCCCAACTTTGATGTTTGGCGTTAAAGTCGCCTCCAACTATAAAATTGTTACCAAAGGTGCAAAAATAGTTATTGAAGTCAGCAATTGTAACAGAATGTCTTGGAGGTGAGTATAGTGCCGCAATTGTTACAGGAATATTATTTATGTTGATTAAAATAGCACAGGACTGTAAGAAGTTTTGACAGAAATTAGGAAGAACTTGGAATGTAATGGTGGATTTAATTAGTATGGCGACTCCGCCGTGAGCTGTATTATCTGGATGATTGGCTTTCAGTAATTTGTAACCTGGAATATGTACCTTAGAGTATTGAGTGAGATGAGTTTCAGTAATTAATGCAATATCAATACGTTTGTTTTGTAGTACTGATTGGATTTCAATAACATGATTTTTAAGACCGTTTGCATTGAATAGTAATATTAAAAGGGATTTACTTGTGTGTGTGTTGTTATTCATTTTTTATTATCTAAAAGACTAGTTATTACTTTGGTAAGTAGGGATATTAAGGGATTTATTAAAGATTTAAAGTCCTCTAGGAAACTTGTTATTGTTTTGTTGATATCAGCTGTCGGTGGGGGCAGCTGTTGATTTGAGGAATGGCCTGACGTGATCTGTGCATAGGATGGAGTGGGGTTTGGGTTAGCATCATGAGTAGGGTGGCTGTCTTTTACAACTAGTGACTTATCTCTAATATTATCTGACAAAAAATAATGATTACTAGTGGCAGGTTTCTTACGTCGTTGAAGGTCCTTATATACTGCACAACCTTTGTAACTAGCTGGGTGATTCCCTTGGCAGAGTGCGCATGATGGTGAAGTATCACGTGGATTTGGACAAGCGGATGATGGGTGGCCGGCGCCGCAGCGAACGCATCGTGGTGGGTAGCCACAGTACGTTTTTGTGTGACCGTAGTTTTGGCAATTTAGACATTGGCTTATAGTTTTAGCTTTGAACGGTTCTTCTACTTTGATTTTTGTGTGTAATAGATTTGTCAATTTGTATATATCTTTTGATTGGTTGCTGGGTTCTAGATCAACAAAAAAAAGTGGTAATGGGTGCTTATTTGTTTTGTGTAGAACATTGGTAATATTTCTAACTTCAAAATTATGAAATTCTAATTCAGATTTTATAAGACTAGTTGGCGTTGATGGATGTAGGTTGCGAATTACGACGCGGACGGGCTTATCTTGTTGAAGCTGATAGGTGTGGTATTCGGCTTTTTCTTCCTTTAAATACCGTATCAGTGACCTATATGCATCTGGAGTGCTAGTTTGAATTTTTAATCTGTCTGCAGATGATTTGCAGACAAAGTTTTCAACACCGATTAATTCTACAAGTACTGTGCATAGTTCTGGAAAATCCTCGACACCTCTTACAAAAATCGGAGGAGGGGGTTTAATTGGTGGATTATTAATACACTCTGTCTGCATGTCAGTAGTAATGTTTTCAGTAGAAACATTGAGCGGGAAATCGAATTGATCATTTAACTGATTGGATTGTTGGTCTTCGTTTGAAGCGAGGGCTTCATAACGATTTGCTGAAGTGAATATTTTTTTTCTTGTTTTGGGAGGTTGTACACGTGGAGAGTTTGGTTCTGAATTAGTAGAACTAGAGAGATTTCTTTTAGATCTTTGTACAGTCCATCCTGCTTCTGATTGATTATTACTTGTGTCTAGTGATGAGTTGAAGGTTTTATTTTTACTAATTGTTAACGGGGATACGCTGTTATTTGTTATACTAATATCATTATTATTATTCTTGTTGTTGATGTTATTTCTGCTAGTCATTTTAACTAGAATGTAATTATTATAATTAAATTACTAAATAAATGAAGTAACAATCACAATGCGATTGCAATAAAATAAATGAAGACGACGGTGGGATGCGATAACGTAATGTATTATTATTAATAATAAGGAGACCGCCGAGGCGGCCGCCGATAAGACCGTATGCACTTGGGCTGCTAATATTACAGCTAGATGACAATTACCGTTCGATATTTTACGTTTGTTGCTGTGCACGAGACTCTAGTTGAGAGTGAAAAATAAGTAGAGTGGTTACATAGACAAGTCACATCTTGATAACCGGTTTAGCAATAATAAACGAAAACACACGTTGTACGATAAGACAGTAACTTAGACCGCACTATACGCACATGCGTATCGAACGACGGCTATCGCGGAACTGGGATTTTTTTTAACAACAAAAATTCAAAATATGATTTACTTTAACTATTAAAAGTAATTATGTTCACTATTATTAATTAAACACAGGTTTTAAATTAAAAAAAAATAATTTTGAAAAATGCAAAAATTGTTTAAATATTAATACAATTATGAAACATACATGGACGTATTAAAAGGGAGGCAANAATTATGAAACATACATGGACGTATTAAAAGGGAGGCAAGTGGATACCATCGCCTAGGGAGTCAATTTTTTTTGTATTTAAGGAGAGGCAAAATTTTTCTGTAATCATTCCAAAAAAAATAAAGGGAAAATGTAGGGGCGGCTATAAAAAATTTACCTGTGGTGTCAAAACTTTAAATACATCACTGGAAACATATAACTTACTTAAAAAAATATTTTCCGTCTCGATATCCAAAAAATGGCACGGTGTATGTGAGCATCCAAATATTACCACCGCCACAATCATAATATGGCTTACTCCACTTTCCATCTTCATATGTTACTGTCAGCACGTCATCTGGTTCCCTTTTTGTATGAGTAGTCGAATTCCACGTGTATGAGTTGAAAGCTATAAAAGTTATAACATAATAAGTTTTAAACTTGATTTAATGGTCATCATAAATTTTTTTAATGAAAAATTATTACGTTTAATTCATTTATTTATGATAATAATGCTTTACCCTTCTTCTAATAATCGTTTTTGAAAATCCTTATTCATATTTTATACCTGTATCGAATTATCAACTCTTATAATTTTTAACATATCACAGTAATATCAATTAATTAATTTTTATTTGGTTAAAAATATACTTATGAAATGCCATAAATATTTATACTGAAATTAGTATGTAAATATCTCAGTTATACATGGTTAAGCTATTTATTTCTAACTAACAGTATACAACATTACCTCATTTTATAATTATATAATACTCTAAGATCATGTTTAATTAAGGAAAGGAATTATATGCATTTTTACATTTTGTTGGAGTCAATTTAAAGTGTATCGAATTTGTGCAACTTTGTTGAAGGATTTATAGTGGCGTAGAAATATATTTTGTGTTAAGGAGTATAAATACCTTAACCTATCCAAAAATATAACCATGATAACCATTACAAATTTTCATGTCAATTAAAAATACCCAGCACAGGGGGGTCGCGGCACAGTGGTGACGTGGTATAGTTGGATTAAGTATAATGATATCTGACAGTGATTAAAATAACTATAAAAAACGTTCGATGCAAATCTTTAGATAGTGTTTAATTTTAAAAAATTGGTGGATTATTCCAAAAGCTACATAATTTGCTAGTTCCTTATTAATATCCTGATTAAAATAAAGTATGTCGAATGAAAAAGGGATTATTAAAAAATATTATTTCTCATAAAAAAATTATGTTGATCCATACACTTTTCAATATGTTATAGCATTATAAAGTTAAAAATGTAAAAAATTAAATCGAGAATTTTCACACAATAATAGCATTCGGTAGACATTTTCACCGTGAAGACAAAATAAAGTCCGACATTTTTTTTCCGCATAATAAAGAAAATTACATTAACTTTAATTTAAGATATATATAAAAGTCTCAGACTTTCCGGAACATTTTCAAAATTTAAGTTGAAAAAATTAATTTTTTGTGAAAAAGTTGTCATTTTAAATCAGGGCTTTGTTATAATAATTTCTTCAGTTTATTAAAATTATATTAATTATCAACTAGGGTAGTCCTTATAGGATAAACTAAAAAAAATTTGTTCCAAGTAACTGAAATTCGGTTCTACGTATATAAACCTAATTTTTAGCCTATAGAGCATGAAACTTTAAACATTTCACGTGCCTCAGAGAGGTTGAAAATAAGCTAACAAGGTTAGAAACATTGTTTATTGAGTACATATTTTTAAATATTAAAGATATAAAAAAAATGACTTATTAGTAATTTGGTAGAAAATTAATTTTATAAAAAATTCTTATGTATATAATTTTATCATAGCATTGATCATTTATCGGATAAAAACGCTCATTAAAAAATATTCATAGAGAATAAAAATTATTGTTTTTGCAACTGTGGTTACATAAGGATATTTTATAAATATTTATAAGTACAACATTATGTTGTTAAAAATTCTGCTAATTATTTTGGAGAATTTTGATTTAAAATTTCACTGGAATATTAAATGACTTTTAAGTTATTTGACTTAAATTCAAAACAGTTATTTTTTCTGTTTTTAGAGGCCTTTGTGTAGATTTATATATAGTGAGAGTTGATGACTACTTTTATCATAACAATTTATTAAATAATTATTTAACAAATTTTAATTAAACTTTTTTAAACTTGGAAACGAGATGTTATATAAATTTATTTATACTCGTACCAAAGTAATTGGTGTGTATTATTGTATAAGCTGTTAAAATCGTGTGTTGCCAATAGCTTCAACTTAGTTTTTCAGATATTAACAAATATTGAACAAAATAAAAATTATATTGTTGAATTATATTATAATTTCTGTTTAAATTAATTACCAAGTGATGTATTAAATTATTCAAACTACCTTTAAATTATATTATTAACATATACTTTTACAATTAATGAACGCAAGTTCTTTTATAATTTTACCATTGTTATTTACATTGCATGTTTTGACACTTAAAAAATATACCATTTATTTGTATAAAAACTATCTTTGTTTATTTAATTTAATGATTTATAAAGTCATCTTTTATTAAACATGTATTTAAAATTCATTCTAAGAATTAAAAAGTTTATAGTAAATGTAGTAATACAAAATTATTAATGAAGAGTTAAGTTGAAAATGTTAATTAATATTAAGTAATTGTAAATAACTTTCATAAATATATATATATATATATATATATATATTATCGTCACCTTGAAATCACAAATACATGTATAAATCAAAGACAAAGTTATCTATAATAATTTTTTATACTTAATATTTAATTGTTTTGTTAAATTTAGTTTTGAATAATGTAACTATTTGGGCTCTTTAACAAAACTTATAATGCTACATTCCAATCTGTGGAGAAAACTAGAAAATCTATTCAAAAAATTTAATGAATAATTTTTTTGTTCTACTAATCCTACACAGGTGATATATCATTAGATATTTTTTAGCTGTCCTTTTTCTTCCGCATAAGTATAAAATGATAGCAACTTAAAAATAGTTACAACGTAATCTTCATTATGTATTTTAAAATGATTATAACTTTCGAAGAATGATGTGACCAAGACGGTAACGCAGCTATGTCTGATATGCACTGTCTTGGATTCGAGAATAAGTCACAGGTGATTCCGTTTGCTGTGTGATAATTCAGTTCGGTAAATGAAAGTTCTCCTAAGTAGATATTTTCCTATTTATTTTTATAAATTTTTCGCAAATTTATATTATATTTGATAATGTATTCATAGTTTTAAAGTATAAAATAACAATAACAAAAAGTAAAGCAAACTATTCAGTAGATCAATAGTTATTAGATTTGAAAAAACATCGTAAGTCACCTTGTATAGATAAATCAATATAAAAATAGACAACCATATGAATAATGAGAAGTGTAGTCTTAGTTGTAGATTTAATAGCTAATTTATCAGTTTTTCAATGTTTAAAAAAATAAAAACAAATGGATTTTGTGGGTAAAAATTATTTGAAAAATGTTTTTTATAACGTTGCTCATGATATTATTATACAAAATTATAAAAATGTATAAAGTATAAAAATTATATGAAATGGGGACTAATAAACCTTTTCTTTTATGAACGTTATCTTGTTTATAATGCTGTGTTGCTCTCAGTAAAAGAAAATCTATATCAAAGGTATAAACTATTATTCAATAAATTTTTTATTCATAAAAGGTACTTCCCCTTTTTATATTTCAATACAATAAAATGACCTACGTACACATTTAAATACTTAAATATTTTTTATTGTTGAGTGGCGAAAGTAAATTTGTTATAAATTATTCATAAGAAGGTTGTTGGGTAAAAAATATTTCATGATGGTCGTAATAGTATTCACAAATAGAGTAAAAATAAATATATCTTGTTATAATATCACTGAATATTTAATAAAAATTAAATTACTATTATAATTTGTTTTCAATTTAATTTTTGAGAATGTTTTTAAACATTTATTTTATCCTTAATATGTTACCATAACAAACAAATATTTTTGAATTAAAAAAAAATATGATTATCGAATAATTTATTCAATTCAAAATTGTTTAAAATTGAAATCTAAATATTTTAATGTCTTAGAGTAAAAAAGAGTTAAGTGCATTTTTGAAAATTATGATTTAATTTTGAAGCAGTATTTATTTTTGCAAAAATTGTATTTTTTATAATTGTAGAATCAAACTTTTTTAAGCTAATAAATGATGTTAAAAGTCATAATGCATGAGACTTTTTTAACTATTTTGAATCCCTCCTGTGGACAGATAGTGGGTGAGATTTTCGAAAAATTAGTACAAAATTATTAATTTTTTTTTTAACTTATAGTATGTAATATAAACTTTAATTTAATATATATTTGAGAAAGTTAATTTTTGGTGATAAAGTTAATATTTTAGATCACCCACTGTGGGCAGATTAATGGTTAGATTTAAAATATATATAGATACCTAAAAAATAAAAATACCAAAGGTATTTATAAAACAAAATTTTTCTATCAATCTATTTTTAATAAAGTTATCTCAGTTAGTTTTAAGAAAAAAAGTAAAAATATACTGACTTGAATTTTTTTTTCATTTTTACGGTATAATATCTTTTTAAATAGACACGATTTGTGTTTTTTAATATGTTGTCGAAAACATTAGGTCTGATGAAAGCTGAGATAAAGTAGTGATAGATACAAAAAAATAAACACATCATGGTGAAATACTTTCTCAGCTTCTCATCGAAGCTAAAAATATGTATATCAAAATACTCTCCTAAAAATATGAGAATGCATTTATCTCTTTTTTTACCTTAAGTTATGAATATACTTATTTGACATAAAATTAAACGATTATAATAGTTTGAATTATATATTTTTAAATTAATTAAATTAAAAAAATATTTAGAAGCAATATATTTGTACTGAATTTCAATTATTTGATTGTGAAAAAACATTTTGTATAAAAAAAATCGAGAATTAAAGCTTACCGTGACTATATTGATTGTTGCGTTTTATAACTCCTTGAGCTTTTTGTCGAGCAATATAGAACCATTCACTTGTGTTTGATAAATACTTATACTCAACTGCCAAATCTTTAGCCAAAATTCCTTTACCGTTGGGCAATCTATATGCGTATGGACAAAAGAGACTGTAGTCTTTGTACTGATTCTGGTCATAGCAGTTACCGGCCGCAAATATATTATTATCAAATTCTACCATAGATATTACACCTGCATGTAATAAATATTCTGAGGATGTTACACTAGGATCAGCATACTTCCAAATCCTAGTCAACATATTTGCTCTATTGACAGCTACATTTGCCATGACTCTGAATCTTTCCTAAAAAAACCATTGTTAATTTAATTTATATTGATAATACATAAGTTAATTAGATGCATAGTATAATAGGACATTTTGATGTGAAACTAGTTTTACAGTTTTTAAATGCATTTGTGTAAATAAGTATTTACTATTATAGACTTCTGATCAATTGAATTTACAAATAGTAAATGAAAAATAAAATACTTTGAATTTTCTTGTAACTAGTAAGAGAAGTTGCTTGTATTTGTTTTTTTTTTATGTGAAAATATCTTATGTGGCATCAAAACATTTCCGCTTGGGAAATGAAAATTTCTTAATGTTATTTTTTTGTGTGTTTTGTTACTTAGGTTACATATGTAACATATGATAACATATGTTAAAATAAAGATTATATAATGTTAAAAAATAATTAATATTATAATAATTTGTTAATTTTTATTCGAAGTAAATTATATTTTTAACTTCGTTTAATCGAATTATCTGAAACTAAATAAATAAATTTAAAATTTATTTAAAATAAATTTTTTACTTGCCGGCCGATTCAAGATCATTTTATAATAATGTAAAATACAATAAAAACAACTTTAAGAAAATATTCTCGTTTTTTGAGAATATTCTTGAATTATATTCTTACGGTAATTTTGTATCACTATTTCCAACTGTTGCATATCCACTCTACGTCTTAAAACTGTTTTCACTTTTTTAAGTATTTAACCTCGAGTTATCAACTCATCAAAATTTTTTGTAAACAATAGGCTAAAAACGTTTATTTTAAACTTGATGTACAAGAATCCAAAGTGATTAATTTATCAAATAAATTTTAAAAAAAAATTAGTTCAGGAGTTATAAATATTTTCAATCTAGGTGAGAGATGAATAGCACGATAGAGTAATGTATATGGGTTAAAATTATATAACCTGCACCTCACTTTCAGTCAACAATTAAAAATGTAAATGACATCCATATATTAGTTTACAAATAGATATCGACTTGTAATATTTTAATTTGATCATTTTCTCTCCTGTGAACTAGTTTAATAGGTAATATTGCCTGCCACTTAAAAATTATAGTTAGTACCCTTATATGTATTAAGGTATAGACCAAAAAATATTTAACCACTTATAAATTGAAAAATAAACAATAATAAACAATAGCACAGATTTTATTTTTTAAGAGAAGTAATTTTTTTCTATGGGATATAACTTGTACTAAAAAAAAAGAAGTTATTTGAAAATAGAAAAACTTTATTTCTATTTTTATATACACACTCCTCTAAACACAAAGCACAGATAATTTATTTATTTCTAAATCTATAAACACTTTCACGTAAAAGCATTTTTATACAACCAAAATTATTAAATGGCTTTGTGGTACATCTGATCATTTAATAAATTGTTCATCAAAACTAAAAAGAATTGATTATTCTTCATAGGTTATAAAGCATAATGTGTCCTATCAGTTCTTGACATATTTAGTAACATTTAAATCCAGTCAATATTCTGCATTATTTTTTTTTTGAAATACAGTTTTGGACTGCGTTAAAATCATATTTTGAATTATTTGTCTCTAATGAAAAAATGATTATTTTTAATTTTTTAGAAATTATAAAATATACATTTTCTATTCTTACAAGATGTTCTAATGGTTCAATAATAACTTAAGGATAAGTACTTATTGAGTTTTAACAAATTTAGGGAGTGTGTAACGTGGATCTGTCCTTATTATATTCCATTTATTCCAAACATCACTGTGTTATACAGAATATTCAGCAAGTAAGGAAACTGGTCAATTGTTACAGACAATGAAAACAATGGAAACCTGTTTCCTTACTTACTGAATACCCTATGTATATCCATTTTATGTTTTAAAATTCTTGTAACTCAATAATTACTTTTCCTAAATTGTTATCTACAAATTAGGCATTTTTATAAGAAAAGATCTAAAAAATGGCTTTTTTTTAAATTTTAAAACATTTAAAATTAAAAAAAAAATAAATTTAAAATATGATTTATTTTATGGCAAATTTTAAGACTCTAAATTATTTTTAAAAAAAGAATTTCAAAATATTCGTTGGATCAAAAGTTATTAAATATGTCAAATCTTGTTCGGATATATACCTTGTGTTTCAAAAAATATATACGTTTTTCTAGTATCATTGATAATAGAAATGTTTTGCAAACCTTTTGATTGGAGAAAATTTTTTTTTTTATTTGCCTTGAGAACTAAAATAAAACTATATTATTAAATATTTACTATCTAACGTCATTTTTTTATATAATTCTTAAATTAATAATTAGATCAATAATGTTTGATATTAATCCAGAATAATTTATTATGTTTAGCAGTTATTTATAAGACTGTTTTTATCTGTATACCTATTTGTAAGAGGTATTATTAAATCTTCGTGAAGTGTAGTGAGCGTCATACTTATCAGTGTGTAATAAAACGCATAAACTAAAAATATCTCGTTATCTTTTAACTCAACAATTCATACACGAAAAAACCATTAAGAAAATGGGAAGTTGCAATATAATTATAAAATTTATGCTTTTCCAGAATGATAAATTTTTTTTACTTTTATAAAATACTTAAAATATATATTTTGAAATAGTGAATTCACTGATGTATAAAAGCTAAAATCTGAGTGGGAATATTTTTTATAATACTTTTTCTTTAAACACTATAGCTTCAATTTGAGATTTCTAAAAAATATTTAAACTAATGCTAACAATCAACTAAAAGTATATAACAAATAATATTAATTAGATTACCTAAAATCTAAATTATCAAATTGATTACCAACAAATGATAAAAGTAAACAGATGCACATGGTGCACTGCACATGATATGCGATTAATAGAGCTGTTTAAATCATAAAGTTTTTGTTTCTTACATTGTAACTATGAATTTTAAATAAAATGTTATTAAAAAAAAAAAGTTAAAAAAATGTCGAAAGTTAGCGATTTTTAAAATTGTAATTTTTTGGAGGATTTTCTCCATTTGTGAGGAACTAGAATATTGTTTTCAAATTTTGAGGGTAATGTCTTCGACTATATGTATACAATTTGTGATCTTTAGACTTATCGTTGAAAAATTTCTCTCTTCGGAGAGAGCTGAGAAAAAGTGGTAACAGACACAAAAAAGAAAAAAAATGTAGGACAGCGGGGTTATGGCATAGTTGGAACAAGTCTAGTTGATATCTGACAGTGATTAAAATTACTATCATAAAAAACGCTTCGATGCAAATCTGTAGATAGTGTTTAATCTTAAGAAATTGGTGGATTATTCCAAATGCAAAATTAACTCCTATTTTTAGTTCAACTTCGACGGCCATTTGCACATAAAATATAGGTCGTCGGGGCAAATTTTTTTTTTAGTACGTAACAAGCTTTAATTTAGTATATTTTTAAATGACGCAGTATTTCCGGAACGTTTTCAAAAGTTAGGTTAAAAAAATTCTACTTTTTATACGTATGTTTCAAGTTTTTAAATGTTGTAATAGGCCCTTTACATAAAAACAATATTTCTTTTTCTTCCATTTCATTTCTCAACACACACAAAGATTCTATTCTATTACACAATACTTCTCACAACAAATATTAAACACTATCAATATTTTCTGTTCTTAGTCACAGCCAAACACATAGTTGACATAATCACGCCATAGGCATCCGCTCTTTTTTTTCACCGCACATGGATCCTTTAACAATCAAATGTTTCTATTTATTATTTTCAGTTAAAGAACCCTTTTTCAATGTATAATCAAAATCATGAAATTCCTAAAAAAATGTGAAGCAAATAAAAGCCGGACGTTAAATATGTGCGTTTTTGGAAGGGGTTACACCAGGAAAGCTCCAGAGATGGACGCGCTCGACCTGTTTCGATCGAACTCTAAGACGAACACATCGCATTCATCGTCTGGTTCTCGCGAGCTACCTTAATTTAACACCGCAGAATAATTATGAATATATTTATCAATATATAAACTTGTGTTTATTAACTAAGAACAATATCTCTCCGTAACATTCACGTGATGTAATTACCTTCTAATTATTACAATTATTTTATATAATTATATGTGAAGTTATATTAATTATATTATTTTATCATCAACAACCATCTGACATTGCGTTCTTTTTATCATTATTCTACACGCCTAAAGGATAACTAAAAGCTCAGGTAAGAACATTCAAACTTAGTTTGCAAATTAATATTAACAAACATAAACCCTCGAACAATACACCCCAAGTAAAATAACAAGAATAGTTCCTTATATTCGATACTTCTCCCCTTTAACATATTATTTTGGTTTACGACATAACACCCCCTGTATAAGGCAAATGTCCATTTTGAAAAAATAGTATGTCGGATGAAAGAGATACATATAAAGTATTTAGAAACAAAAATTTGTGTTAATCCATATATTTTTCAAAAAGTTATAAAAATATAAAGTTAAAAATATAAAATCGAAATTTTAACAAAAAAATAGTAGATTTTTAACTACGGCAGCTATTTGCTAATAGAAGATTTTGCTTATAGTACGTAATATAAGCTTTAATTAACAAATGTTTAAATGACGTAGTATTTTCGGAACATTTTCAAAAAATAAGTTGAAAAAGTTGCTATTTTAAATCCACTCTTGTGGGCAGGTAAAGGGATAACTATTGAAAAAAATTATATCATATGAAAGGGAAATAACTAAGCTTCTTATATCAAAAAAAGTTATTTTGATTTGTTCATTTTTGAAAAAGTTATGGCAGAAAAAAATTAGATATACTAAAGAATTAAAATCTTTGTCACCATCTGTTAATAACAGAATTTTATATAATAAATTGAATAAAATATATCATTGATAAATAAATTGAATAATAGATGATGGGTAGTCTCCTTGTAGAATTTTAGTTGATTCCTGAATAAATTAAAATTTGACAAGAAAAACAATTTTTGTATTTAACTGATATATTTACGTTAAAAAAGTATGCTAATAAAGGATCAACCAACCAATTTTCTTTAATTTT